TAAATCTGAGGAGCCGATAGCAACAATTTTGAAATAAAGCGCACGATATTAGCGCAGGAAACGGAAATTCCGGCAAGAGAAGTATAAGAGACGTTCTGGATTTTTCATAGACATCCAAAAATAAGTGGTAGATATGAGTGTTAGTTCATAACTAGTGTTTTTCTGTATACGTGGCGAGTTGTGACTCAGTGGCACTATGACGTGATCTTCCTTATCACAAGAATAAGTGAGACGGCAATACGTCTCATTCGCTACTGACAATCGCCTGTGTCGAGAGCGGATTTCCTCCGCTTGAGCGGTGGAACCTGGGTGAGTCGCTGGCGAAATACGGGTTTCGAATAAATCGTCACGTTCGCAATAGGAGTCAAGGCGCTTTTTGGATGACCTTTTAATCGCCTCAATCACGTTTAGGCTTATGTAGTCGACGATTGCGTCGAAACGTTAGGCCGTTTAATTAACTGTTCCCCTTTAAGCCTCGAACGGGATTATGACTACTACATACTCCTAGATCTATTGAAGGGCGAATTAATTGGCTGAGCATTTTCTGGGGTTTAGGATGGAAAGGATAAATAGCGTTAATCGAATGTACTGCTAAGCCGGACACTCTAGGAGAATTCAAATGAATAGAACTTCATTACTTAAGAGTACACCTGTGCAGAGCCAGGTGTTATAGTCATAACGTTTTCGTTGATAAGTCATTGCGCATGTTCATTGTGCACTTGACTTACAACTAAAGACGAGGGATTTTTTTCGAAAAAAAGAAACTACCACATAATGAAAAATGCCATGGCCTAATAAAAAAGTCGATCTCCATGAGTACAGAGCAGTTCATGAGACAGAATGTTACTCGTTCCCAGCCTTTGATTTCCAGGTGTCACAGCTGGAGCGTAGGGTACCTTTTTCAAAGCCAAAATGGGACCGCGACAGTAATCTTTCTTACTTTCGATGGGATCTTCCGAAAACTTCTCTCCCCCATGTCATAAAAATATTATTGTGAAGCGTTGGCCAAAGCATTACGGCTACGTTTTGGCCTTGTCGCCTTCGTCAGGGCTCGAAAGCCAGAGAAATGCCAGAGAAGTTTACCCTCATTTAACGACCTTTCAGCCTTCAGCTTAATTTGAGCATGGACTGTAAATACCTGGATCGGTCTCGCAAATTACCATAGATAACCCACTTCAGATGCGCCTGTAGAGAGACCTGTAAAACAAGGCCGAAATGTTGGCGGCAAGTGGCAACATCTACGCAAGGCTTCATAATAAAACCTAAGACTACGATGTTCTATTCCGAGATCCATTGAACGTCAAAAATGATCTTTCTCTATGGAGTTCTGAGGTAAACCCAAGGTGATGCAAAAGAAAGAAGTCATGGAGTCATGGAAGCCATGGCAAGAAGTGCTGGAGTCAAAGGCCCGAGAAAATTGCCCTGAGGTTGTGACTGTAGCTACATCCTATAAAATTTATTCGATGGAATCTGTAGAATGCGGACCCAATGTCTTAGTTCTCGAAATTCAAAAATATGTCCAAATGCTACCGGCCCGAAAATAATGTGACGAAGAGATTTCGTTTTGCTCGGAACATCAATGAATCTTTTATTGCCTAGACGCACGAAAAGCATATTAGACATCTAGAAACGCCTCCAGAATGCTTTTCCTATTCGTAATAAATGAATAGTGGAACAATAATTCACCTGTCACCTGCCGCCCCCATGCTAACTGTCTCCTGACGTCTTCCTTGGAGAGGGGTTAAAAACCGGCTGTGTAGGCGGCCTCATGCAGACCGAGCTCCATAAAAACATCATACGTATGGTCCCAGCTCACCCATGTGTTTAATACTATTTACTGGATGATTGTTTCCGAAGCCTCCCTTAAAAACGTCCTACACCATGAAGTGCAGGCAGGAGTAATCAGCCCTCATGTGACGATTCAGAAGACAGTAGCCCTAAACGTTTAGTGGAAGCTGATAGGCCCTGTGGCTTTCACTCACGTACTGAAATCCCGAGAATTAAGTTGTGGGAGTTAGAGTACTGGTAGCCCCTACTGAACTGAACCTATAAATATCAAACAACAGTTACTGTTAGGCAAACAGATTGATGGCTCTACACAGACTGGCAACATAGGTCTAATGCTTACAGGCTTCTTTTTTNTTTTTTCCTTATTATTGAACTATTTCTAAACCTAGAACGGTGATAATTAATTCCCAAGAGGAATCAACAAAGGACTAATTCAAATTTATTGAGTACCGTAATCATCCTGGATTGAAAAATTGAAGCACAAAATAGAAACATTAGTAGTTACTTTGATAAGGTCAGGAAAGTCGTCACCCATTTTGATGAATTATAATCAAAATAAATCTAAAATAATGAAGCAATGAAATTAATCATTTCAATACTAAAACATCAAACTTCTATATACGAACGCATACCCGTTAGAGTATAAGTTCAGGCTATTAACAGAAAGTACTGAGTTATTGTCACCTGTTTCTTACTAATTGGCTATAGACTTAATATAGGAACTTCTCGTAAGCAAATGATTAAAGATGAAGTCGTTGACCGTTAATCATACCCGTTTTCGGAATGCTCCCCACATTCGACTTCCATCCAGAATCGTAGTGGCTGTTGGAATGGGTTTGCAGCCTACAAAATGAGTTGCGGTGGCCAGCCGATGTACAGGTCAGTGCCTTCATCCTCCCAGACGGGTCCCTACTAATCAACTAATCGACCGCTGAGATATGGAAGGCTTGGTTGGCTTAGGTGATTACTACCTTGGATTCGATACCCGAATCATGCGTTAGGGGTAATATGCCACTTGCCAATATACCGAATCTGCCCAGAGGGTTTTATAATTTTGACAAAATTCCAAATTTTCGATTCATAGATAATAGGTGCTGTGCGTATAGCGGTACGATTCTATCTAAGAGCCAGCTCTTTGTCAGCGAATTTCCTTTTTTTTCTTCTAGAGTTTTCTCGAGGCAACGAGGCTTCAGGCCTTGATATCCACTAAATGCTCCCAGTGATGGGAGAAAAGCATTGTTAGATCGAAATCATTCAAAATGACTCGATAAAAGGACAAGTACGGGTTCGAGTCCCGTCCGAGACTGGAGTTTTGCCCACAAATCGCCAACCTTGTGAGACATTCAAAATGACTTCCAAAACATTTTTGAAACATACAACAAACGAGGTTTAGTGAAAGGAAAGCACTTAACAATTTCGTTCAAGGTCTCTGTTCCAATAGACCTAATAGATCTCCTAGTATGGGCTTTCATCTGTAAATTGCTGTCTTACAAATGACAGTGTTGGCCTAGCAACGGACAACACTATTAAGAACCAATTAGGAATGATTAATACAAAATATCAAAATTAATTATTTCTATGTAGCTTGAATATNACCCCCCCCCCCCCCCCCCCCCCTAGGACCGAAAGTACAAAATAATAGACATATTGAACCGGACTGATTTCTCCGTCTAGAGGGGCCGGATCCAGAAAACCCTTACGAATGAAGATTTTTTTCACTAAGGTAGTTCATTGGCAATGTCACTAAGTCTAGAAAAGGAAGATTTTTGGCATCAATCAGTCACGTCTTAGGATGCGCCCTGCATTCCATTTCCATCCAAAATTGTAGTTACGCTTGAATGCGTATGTGGCCATGCGGTGTACATGTCAGTGCTCCCCAGACGACTCTGACCATTTATCCGATCCCGGAGGGTTGGAAGGCTTGGTTGGCACGGGTCAATACCGATCTGGAACTCGATTCTCAGGACATGCGTGTGATAGTACATCACCTGGCACTACACCACTTACGAGTTACGCTTGTAGTCATTTTTAATAACTTCGTTGACGTTGCTCAAACCGCTTTTTTAATTATTAATGGAGTGAGATTCCGCTATTTTTCAGCCAATCAACTTTGCTGAGTCACCTTCTGATTGCGACAGGGCTCAAGTGCTTGAATTACATTCTAAAAGTAGCCCTTATTTCCCTGAAAAGTACCTAAATCCGGTATAACATGAGAGCTTTTGATGAATAATCAGCTGACGACATGAATTTTCAAATATCCTCAGTTATTACGCTATTAACTGGGGGAATATTCCTTTCTGTACCATTCGTTCAATCTGTTGGGGTGAAGACCAGCTGTCCCTATACAGCTCTGACAATGTCTTTAGAAAGGTGACCGGGTTACCTCACAAATTCACTTGTATTCTCAATGAAATCATCTCTCGTTGGAAATATTCTTTCTAATACCGTTGAAAGCAAAAGGATGAAATAGGAAAAGGATCGGCTACACTTCAACGTATTGTGAACCGTATGAAGTGGTAGAAGTTACCCCTTGAACGTCCTCTGGACCATCTCAAGTGAGAGAACTTAAGTTGTGACAAGTTGCGCTGGTATCAACTCGATCCTTCTAAACTAACCAGGTGTTTCAATCTTTGAAAAACCGTAAACGTCATGAAGTTCGCCAGAAAGTTCCCAAACACTGACTTTTCAAACGAATAATTCTATAAAGCCGTTTTATATTCGGTCCCCAGAGTCTAAGGGAAGTCCACTGCACTATGCCTCCCAAAGAAGACTGGCAAAAGTTGAACTTACGCTCCTTGATACCATTTCGAGTCACTTGACTTCTCCAAATTCTCTCGCCCTTAACTTTTAGCTTTTTTTTCCTTCGACATCGTTCTTCTGGCACCATCGAATCACTTTTCCGGAGCATTCCGATGAGTATTAAGATCACCTTGACGCGTAGACATGTTGAATGGGGAGAAAGAAACATTTTTCTTACATATTCACGAATTCTTTCATATTTACAGCAGTGAAAATTGGGATATTAGAACAATATCAACAATACATGACAGAGTATAGGTAGTACTGGTGCCTAGTGGCAGGAGGGGAAAAGGGGATGGGGAGAAAGGGCAGTGAAAAAGCGTTTACCTACCTATTTATTTATTTTCTAGACCATTTTTCGATTGAAAATAATAGGTTCCTACATTCCTTTCGAGGATTGAAGGTTACCTATAGTTACAAAACATGTTGGTAAGGTGGGTACATGTACCATCACACATCAATTCTCCCATACAAAATCACCACTATAATTGAGCAACAACTCTTCGTGGTAAAAACTACTGAGCGAGGTAGAAAGTGAGCAGAATTTAGAGAACAGGCGAATCAGAATATCGCTCCTCCAACATAGATAGGACGTACGAAGTATGAGGTAGAAAGAAAATATTACAGAATCGATTTCTAACAAATCCCAGAAATGAGTGTTCTGGATTATTACAGCCTTAACCGAAAAAATGGTGTAAGGATACCTAGGGTGACAAAAAAANAAAAAAATACCGAGATCGAGTTTTCTTCTCACAAACCTGTCGTTTTTCTCAACTGCCTACCAAAGTCAGCCACATATTGGGCAAATGTTGGTGATTTGACTGATTCGAATCAAAGATCAGCTGCGTAGGATGAGTTCCAGTCTCTATCGAAAACATCTTGTAGCTGCTGAACAACACCTTCGCCATTAGCACCGGACATGGCCACACCCACACCTGCCGTTGAGATGAAATAGTCGCCAGCCCAATTGGATGTTCCTGGAAAGATACTTCTATTGGGTTTCCAGACATTAATCCGAGCTGTCTATTGCGATCTTTTCTCGAAATAAAAGATACTGAAACAAGTTCAGGAAAAGCACAGGGAATTGAACTCACCAACATATGCAGCCATATCGGTAACCATGTACTTGTTATGATTAACACGAGCGAATGCTATTTTTTGCTGTTCCTCAGTAGACGGTACAGTGAACAATTTCTAGAAGAAATAGTTCACCGGTATCAAAAACACTTCAAGAGAAAAGCAAAACTGCTCCCTGTCTGTGCAAAAAACACCTCCCTCAACCATACAATACAGCGACCCAGCCTTTACTGAAGAACCTTTCGCGAGCATACTCCTTGAAGACTAAATTATGAGAAAACAAACCACACTGATACTTCCAGCGACCTTTCTTTCGTTTGGAAGGCCTTCGTTGATGGCGACAAGACTTCTGAGGAAGGCTTTCTCTGCAGGACGTGAGTGACCCCACTGGCTGATCAGCAGCCTCACAGAAACACCTCGAAAAGCAGCTGAGCGAAGTGCGTCATCAATATCCGGCCAGTAGCTGAAGAAAATCCGTGACGTCAATAAACTGTAAGATGAAACCGACTCAGCTTCAAATCCATTCAAAAACCCGCTCAAAAGAAAGAAAGGAACAAATCAATTTCCAGTGGTCGAAAACTCTTTCATTCAAACAAGGTGCAACTTAAATACCCGAACCTGTTATTACTTCCCATATACAAGGTTTGCGGAATAAGATCCATTACAGATACACAAACGCTGTGACGAGCGGAAGAAATTATCGTAACAATTGTATCCAAGTCATTTTCGCGACCTTTCGGATTCAATGGCGCCGGAGAACTCTAAATAGCTAGACGCAAATAATGATGACCNNAGGAATAGATCCATTCCCCATTGAAGATCCTACTGGGCACCAAGTTGTTGAAATGTACAGAAATTCCCACAAAGTGAAAACTCACAGATATAAAAACATCCGTATTCAGTCCGTTCAAATTGATTTTCATTGGTGACTTGCTATTAAAAGGCGTCTCAATATAGGATGGCCACCTAGGCGGAATCTTAGCGTCCTTCTGAAAACAGAGGGCGGCTAAAGAAGCGTTGAAATTCGATATGAAGGAATTCCTAACTACCTGTCCCAGATGCCAATACACTGCGAAAATTTTATGCAAATCAGCGGCAAGACATGGGCAATTTTGAATATACAAGCCTAGCTCTTTCACCTAAAAAAAGAAATTGAGACCAGTGAGTTGTATGGAAACACGAACAAACGTTAAACCTCGGCTAACGACTTCCAGTCCATATTTGCTGAACCTATATAGACATGAACAAGATCTACTATGATAAACTTGGTATGCAAAACACCCGAGCCAAACAATTTTGCAAAATCCACAGTACGGACCTGAAGCAAATATTCCATTCAAACTGCATGTTTGAGAATATACGGAAGACATACCCGAGCAAGTCCCCGATCAGCAAGCCATTGAGAGTCTTTGTTGTCTGATAATCCTTTACTGACATCTTGAGCAATTCGAACCTATCAATAAACACTGTTCAATCAAGTTCATTGATATGACACCAAGCACCATTCGGTACCAATCGACAGCATCATAAAAGCAACGAAACCCCGCCTCCGTCATCTTTGCAATGAATTTTTCAAGCAAATTTGAAGATTCCCGTCTCCAAGCAGAAAAAGAAGAAGAGAAATTAGAGGACAGCCCAAAAATTCCTGAATCACTGCTTTCATACCTTAATCTCATCTTCAGGAAAACTCTAGGATCAGGGGCTGTACATTGACTTCCACTCAGAATAGTAGAAACACCTTGATATGGCCTATGCAGACAAGGAGTTATGGTTATGGTTCATAAACCCAGAAACTTCAGGCATAAGTCACCCTGTAGGTAAATAAGGTTTATCTCGCCTAGTCAATTTTGGGTCATTGATTTCATTGGGGACCACGCATGAGCTAGTGGAGCCGCGTGTTATTGCTCTATCTCCATGTCACCTAAAGTGCTCCCTTGATCACGAACATGTCATGCCACATAATTATAATTGTACATCTTACATCCACTCCTCTTCGTCCAGCATCCGCGAGTTTAGCAAACACCTGTCGACCATGTTCCGCTGTTGGATATTCCGAAGAGTTCAAATTCCAGTAGAGAGCAGCTATGTGAATCGTTCGGTTGGCCTTAGTCAACATATCTAGCCAAGCTTCGTGAGTAGGTCGATTATAAGGACCTTCACTGAAGTTCATCCCGGTAGGAATGCTTTCAACGTATTCCGCTCTGAAGGAGTTTTTCGAGCTTTCACGTTTTCAGTAGTAGTGCAGTATTGGAAACGGCACCCACCTGCACGACCTGTTGCACGTGAAAAGTTCCGAGGGCAAAGGATTCTCTACATGAAAAAACGGTACAGCAATCCAGGACAGTAGCAATAGAGCAATAAGTAAAGCGACAGTACTGACCAAGCGTACTCTGCGAAAAAAAAGTTGGGTAACATACGGTCTACACTAGAAATCAAGAGAAAACAATTGATTCTAGTAAATCACGATCAAATCCTCCCGAACCTCAGATGGAGAATAACAATTCACCTGGGAAGGTACCTGTTTCCGCTAACTGGTCCTGGGAGCCATTCATCTTGTGCAACTGCCTGCAATAAACATAGCATACAGTATGTATATATAAATCCCATCTATTGAAATGAGCTCTATTTCTCACCTTAGAGGCCCATAGTATTACAAACCTGATACTGACTTTACTATAGTATTTCAACAAAATTCAAAATCGCTTCATAGGTACTCCATTTCTTGAAAAGCTCAAACCAAAGGACTGCAACACAGTAACAATGTCTGCTGGCATTAATAAATTACCAGTTATAGCATGGCACAAGCAGGAAAAGCATGACACAAAACGTCTTTGCTCCGACATGCCCGAAATCCATAGAGAAATTTAGCGTTGAACCCATCCAACACAATTACGATGATATTTTTCCCAATCTATCGGGTCCCCCTGTTTCACACACCGCAGGGGAAACCGGTTCAGCCAGATGGTTTCTGATCTCGGTTCTACAGAAGATATACCCAAGGCGTTGGTCACATTTGCAATTGATTACTGAACAATTTAGAACTTTACACTTCCGTGATTACCATGAAGGGACAAGCATACCCAACCCGTAGTATGTAGCACTCCCCCCTGTTTCAAGGCTTCAAGATTCCATAGAAGATCCCTGCAATGTACACCCTTTTTTATAAATTGGTTATGACTTCTGACTGAACAGGCGTTTGCTTCTCACTGATAGATAAATGCAGTTTTTGATATCGTTGCTAGCTTTCTGTAATATTTAGAACGCCAAAAAGCAACTTTTAAACAATTGTTCTACTCTTTTCAGTAATGTTTGAGGGTTTTACTAATGTATTGAATCACTTGTCTATGAAAACGAAACAAGAATTCCTACACTAAAAGGTTTACCTTGCTATCTAATAACGTCCTACGTCCTAGCAACATTCCTGGAACTAAAATATGACACACATACCTTTCACATGCTTGTTTGATTAAAGTTT